CACTTCTTTATCGGCACTTAAAAGTCAACTGCTAGATATATGGACCTCTCCCGTAATAGGAGCGTAGTAGAGCCATGCTGCAGCTATATTAATAGTATAGTTGTAGCACGAATGGGTCGACTCGACCGGGGAAGGACCACGCACTCACAGAATACCAGCGTAAGATAGCAGCTTAATGCTGCTGTGTTTCGTATTGTGAGTGTAGAGAACCGTAGACCCATTTTACTGGAAAAGAGGCATTCCATCCTAGTCCTCACGGGTGATAACGCATCTGCATTTTGATTCGCAAACGAAGATAGATGTAGATGTCTATGCGCCACAGCAACCACTTACCGTCAGATTCAATCTGCACGCCAACGTCTTATATCTCTGACACTGCTATTTGTCGCTGGTCAAGGTACTTTATATCAATAAACGATATGGATACTGCCTTCTATCGGTAGCCAAGACTTTTCTGGCGTTTCCCAAGTCGTCTCGTAGTCTCTTACGAAACTCACAGGACAAAAAGTTGTGATGGAGTCTCTCACGTGCCACAAGAGAAAAAATGTTAGTTAGAGTAACAAATGAGGTTTGTTCAGATGATAAAAAGATCCTCATTACCGGAATCAATGGAGAACGAGGTCAATTAAATATATTTTTTATTAAAATTAATAACAGGCGAGGATAAAATCGCAACTAAGGCTATCTGGAACATCAACTTTGGGTTGAGCAATAGTATGATTTTCGAAATTAAAATCCGGACGTTTTTGGCAGAACTTTTTTTTGTTAGGTACGTACTTCTAATGAATTTATTTTAAATTGTTATGTTGTGTAATTTTTCATAATTTTCATTTTTATTAAAGTAAAATACACGAAATGCCAAACAGAGGATGATACTATCAGTATTCAAGATATGAAATAAGGTTAAAATTTTAGCTTAACTAAATTTACCAAATAAATAGACACCTATTTAAATACAATTTAAAAAAAAACAGGTTCTATTTCTTATGGATTGAACTGTCACTGTTGTTTTTAAATTAATTTTTGAAACAAGGAAAGCGGACAATGCATCTATATTCTATAGGCTTCTTTATTTAAAGCTGGTTTCAGGTATCCGGTCATAGAGTATTTTAAATATATCCGGTTAGTTAAAGCAGCCATTCATATCGAGGTGGATTGTCTTTTGTATAACTTAAAGAACCTGGCAAACACCGAAGTAGACTCTATGCTGCATAACGACCACCGGGCCGGGTATCAAGTGTTACCTTCTGGCTTGATACGTCCACAAATCTCTTTTATTTATGTTAGGTAAGAAAGACTGTAATATTCGAAGAAGCTAAAATTGCGCATGTAAACGGAATGTGCAAGTAATGCCGGGTCCACGTTTGGCTTTTAGGGTTCCGTACCGAAAGGGTAACCAACGGAACTCTATTACTAAGCCTTCGCTATTCGTCCGTCCGTGCGTCTGTCTGTCAACGGCTATATCTTATGATCCGTAATAGGTAGACAGTTGAAATTTTGACAGAATCTGTATTTCTGTTGCCACTATAACAACAAATAATAAAAATTAAAATAAATTAAAAATGGCTATGTCTAATGCCCCTACTAGAAACGTGTATTATGATGGTACGGAACCCTTCATGTGCGAGCCCGACTCGCACTTGGCCGGTTATTAAAACCTAGTCCGGGACCTAGGCGCGTAGAATCACTTAGAGGCATTGTATCTTATTTATTACTCATTTTATTAAGTGAATACTTTTCACTTTTCTTAAATCTTATTAAATCTAATTTTTCTTTAACCACGCAAAGGTGACTGGTAAAGAATGCCATAAGGCATTCAGTACCTATCTTTGTTAGTCTTTATGGTCATCATAGTAAATGATTGCTGTGGTTCAGACACCTACATTATATACGTGGTAGAGGCATGCTGCAGCTATAATATATATATATAGCTGTAGCACGAATGGGTCAGCTCGACCAGGGAAGGATCACGCTCTCAGATTCTGTGACCAGCGTAAAATAGTAGCTTAATGCGGCTGTGTTTCGAATAGTGAGTGTAGAGAACCGGAGACCCTTTTTACTTTAAAAGAGGCATTCCATCTTAGTCCTCACGGGTGACAACGCATCTGCATTTTGATTCGCAAACGAGGATAAATGTATATGTCTACGGGCCACAGCAACCACTTACAATCAGGTGGATTGTGTGCTCGTTTGTCACCCTTATTCTATAAAAAAATCCCCCGTCGATTAAGAACCTAAATGAAGATGCGTTTTGTTACCTCTGAGGACTAAAATAGAATTCCTCGATACGAGTAAAATAGGTCTTCGGATCCATAAATGAAATAGCAACATTATGGTGCTGTTTTACGCTAGATTCCTTTCTTTCAATGAGTATGGTTCGTCCTTGTCGATCAGACCAATTTGTGCCGCTTTAATACACTTGCGACGAGGCTATACCACGTTGATTGTTGCATAATCAAAACCAAGTATATTTCAAGGTGATTGAGGGTAGAATGGTAACTTTCCTACCGGGGATAGGGAAATGCCTCTTTGTTTATAAAAAAAAAAGTATTACTGTATAAAATGAAATAAAACAAAGAGTCGGTCAAAATAATATTTTATTCATTCATCGTGTATTTAATTAGGTCTTTACACAAACAAAATTATATCTTAAAAATTAAACACAATAATTGCATGCATCCAATACCAGTGTAATGTTCCAAATGTACAATTATAATCATCCTTAATTTAAATGTTAAACTTATTACAAAATAATATAGTCATCAAATCGTAAATAGCCCACGGCTGGGCAAAGGCTGTTACTAAAGCCGACAAGGGCAATACTGCTGCCATTACGGAGAATAGGAGGTACAGCCAGAGGGTTAACGATGTTATTCAAGGTGATAACTTTGAGCTATTGGAGTTTGACCCAACCAAAAAGTTTACTTCGGATATTGAAGTACTTATGTATACAACAGTCATCATATTATGTTTTTCCCGGAGCAGTCTTGTTCCAATGAAGCCTCAAGCACCCATTTTATATGGATTACCTAAATCATTTGGTAGCCGTATTGCGATGCACTTGACAGAAAAAATATTTGTGTGTATTTTGCATCGATCACTAATAAAAAACTAGATATGCAATCAGTGATAAAAATGTCCTTACCGAACGAGCTCCCACTCGAACATTTGGGTGCGCTTTTAATTTGCACGTAGCTTGTGAATACATCTTTAGGCAATGCATTTAAGGTTGAATTTACATTAATGTATATTTATTTCAACTAGAATTACGTTAAAACAATTGGCGACAGTTTTTAGAGAACTTTTGCGTGGGATTGTGTATCTAGTTTTTTATTAGTGTTCGATTATATTTTGCATCAAGCATTTAAGAGACACGTATCTAAGGCATATCTTCCTTCCGTTACAGCCTATCAAAAGTCCACTGCCAAAAAAAACATCCGCCATAGATGCATTATAGGGATGGATATTTGGCCATAGTTGCCACTTTTGGCAGGCAGGTTGGAAACCGCGGTTTTTTATTAGGTATACGTTGCTGCCCGTCTCCTGATTTGTTTTCCCATGTCGCCTCTTACCACACCCATAAGCTGATATAGGGTAATAGATATTCTTACACCGCCAGTATGCAAAAACTAAGCAAACGCTTGAACGGCATAGGCGTCTATGTTTCATTAATAACTTAAGTGACTATTAAACGAAACACAGATCGATATAGACGCAACCAAGCACATGGAAACCTTTGTTTTATAGAAGAGGAAGCTCACGAGCATGCGGCTCACCTGATGGTAAGTGATTACCGCCGCCCATGAACAACTGCAACACCAGGACAATTGCAGGTGCGTTTCAACCTGCAGCTAACTTCAAACGATGAAGGCTACAGAACGCGTCAACACCTCTGAGGACTAAGGCTGAGATCTATAGACCGTACTTTGACTTTGACAAGTTAAAACATATTTATGACTACTTGCAAAGCAAATAGGAAAATTAATTAATACATAGTGACTCCATTGCCTTTGAAATCAATACTCCTAAAGACTAGGGTAGATAGAGAATTGTGATAATCAGTTATAACGGCTGAGCCAGTCAATAATAAATTCAGTTGAAGCGTCAGCAGCCTAATGGCAGGGCGCGGACTGCGAACTCGAAAGGTCGTGGGTTCGAATCCGCCATTCGACTACTGTCGTGAACCACTTCTAACACAAGCATTTTAAGCTTACCAGAAGTGGTTAAAGAGAATATTAGTAATGTTTAGTTAAAGGGAAAATTACTAGTATTTTTAAAAAGAAAAAAGAAAGAAAGTCAGTAATTGCCAATACTCTTATAAAAATTTCTTATAGTACCTATGTACTTATATGTAAATAAATTGAATAAATCTAATATTTCTTTGAAGATATATCTACTTTTATAAATGCAGTCTATGCAAAGTTGTTCACGAAAATCACTAACGCCTTAATTAAATCAATTTAAAACACAAAACATTCTTGATGTACCGTTGTACGATCACTGTTAAGGATGGGACAGACATCGCGAATTCTTCGCAATACATATATTTCATCCTCATTGCTTCAACCACACAATTACAAATATAACTTTATATATATAAAAAAAGAATATTTTATACCATAATGGTGACAAGCGAACACACAGCCCACCTGATGGTAAGTGGATGCTGTTGGCCCATGGACATCTACATTTATCCCCGGTTAAGAATCAAAATGCAGATGCGTTGTTGAGGACTATAATAGAATGCGTCCTTGCCAGTAAAAAGAATCTCCGACTCTCTACACTCACCATATATCGAAACACAGCAGCATTGAGCTGATATATAACACATAATCTTTCAGTGGTCAAAAACACTCGAAGTGACATCATACATTTCTAATTGACAATGTAGATGCAAACGTTATATCTGTCTCTACTTTAAAATATTTTCTATGACTTTCCATGTTACAGTGATTCCTCTATTTACAAGTTCGTCAATTCATCCGGCCACTACGTTAGTCTCAGCGCCAGGTGGAGCCACCTTGGTTACGACCTTGATATCTATTGGAGCCTGGTGCTGGACGTCTGTCGGACTGCGAACCCCTGGCGTATTTAGGAGCGCTGCCGTATTTCTCCTGCTGACCGTCGTATCTGTGGCCCGACTGATAGCTGCTGTAGCCGTGCTGCGCGCTGGAGTAACCCTGGCCACCTTGATGGTGACCACCTTGATGGTTACCACCTTGCTGGTGAGCACCTTGCTGGTAGCCACCTTGTCGGTAGCCGCCTTGTTGGTGTCCACCCTGATTGTTGCTTTGCTGTCTGTAACCCTGATGCCTATTCTGGTTCTGCCCAAACCTGTCCTGGCCATTTTGCTGGTATCCGGAGCGGTTCTGCGAATGCCCTTGGCTGTTGAAGCTTTGGGCATTTGTATTGTGTGGTACGTACCCGCTGCGTTGAGGACCAAAGGACTGCGAACGATCTGAAACAATTGGAACCAATTAATATTCCTGTTGTAATAATTATACTTTTTTTTGTGGGTTTCCTTGAATGAGGCCTATGTTTGCAAGAGCCTATAAAAGTTCAGTGCTGAACATATGCTTCCCCATAGATTGTCATATAAGTAGGATTTTGCCATAGATGCCAAGCTTGGCAGGCGGGTTGGCAACTGCAGTTTTTATAACTATATAGTTCTATAATTATATAGTTCAATCCCAACAGCATCCTGAATATATTATTATATTGGATGCGCATGGCTTAAAGCGATCTTTTGCTATACCTCATATTATGCCGTGGAAGTCGTAAGACGCGACAAAGGGAAATTAAACAGGAGATGGGCAGCAACATTTTCCTGATAACGTCATCATCATCATCATCATTATAGTCTATTAAAAGTCCACTACTGAACTTAGGCCTCGTTGGCAGCCGCAGTTTATTTCTTCGTAACAATAACTCAAAATAATAAAAAGAACTGGAAATAAAAAAGATAGTATTAAAATAAAACCGGCAAAGTGCGAGTCGGACTCGTGCATGAGGGGTTCCGTACCATCGTAAAACACGTTTCTACAGGGGAGTGCCCTTTAATTTTTAATTTATTTTTATTCTTATCATTTTTATTATAGCGGCAACAGTGATACACATTCTGTGAAAATTTCAACTGTGCACCTATTACGGATCATGAGATACAGCCTGCTGACAGACAGACGGACGGACGGATAGTAGAGGCTTAGTGATAGGGTCCCGTTGAATACCCTTTGGGTACGGAACCCGAAAAATGGAGGAAAATATAATAAGGGATGATATTACTGCTAAATGATTAGTCAAATACAGCTTTATAGTTTAGTTTATACAACTTTTAGCTAAGTTAGAACTCTGCGAGGAGAATCAACGGGAAACTTTGGGGTTGTCGTCCATATTATTAAAATCCATACCAATGTGCGCATAGCCTTAAACCGCGGCTGCTTAAGTGCCATACGAGTGTTTAATCGTCCGCTTTGTGACGCTCAGTTCTATGATATAGCGATGTTAGAAGTGCCGTGTCGATAGTTTACGTTACAAACTTAGCAGATGTATTATGCACAGTCAGAAAAGCCACCCTGCTGTATTTATGACTTGTGCCACTTTTCTACAATTATCCCACTTTAAACAGTTCTTTTGTTCTCCTTTCTTTAAACGATAAGCTAGTTTTAGTTTTTCAGTTTGAATATAATATTCGAAAGTTTTTTTTTTATAGGATAGGGTGACAAACGAGCACACAGTCCACCTGATGGTAAGTGGTTGCTGTGGCCCATAGACATCTACATATATCCTCGTTTGCGAATCAAAATGCAGATGCGTTTGTCACCCGTGGGGACTAAGATGGAATGCCTCTTTTCCAGTAAAAAGAGTCTCCGGTTCTCTACGCTCACCACACGAAACTCAACAGTGTTAGGCTACTATTTTACGCTGGTATTCTGTGAGAGCGTGGTCCTTCCCCGGTCGAGCCGACCCATTCGTGCTACAACTATACTAATTATATAGCTGCAGCGTGGCTCTACCACGTATGGAAGTAATTTTTTATTTGGATTAATAAGCTTAGTATTTATTCTTAAATAGCTTTGACGGGATATGCTATTTTTATTCATAATATGTATTAATGTGACACAAGAGGTAAAATTAAAATTTTTGTACAACCGACTTCAATATAAATTGTTAATAATAACTCAAAAACTATTGGTCAGACCTTGATCAAATTTATATGGGACCACATGAGAAGCACCAGTTTTCAAATAAAAAAGAATCATCGAAATCGGTTCACCCAGAAAAAGTGATGAGGTAACACACATAAAAAACACACAGTCGAATTGAGTACTCCTTTTTGAAGTCAGTAGATAAAATGTAGTAAATAATCATCAATGTAGTCGCAGTCAATTAAATACGCATTATTAAGGATAACTTAAAAACTACTGTCCCGATCTTGATCAAATTTATATGGGACCACATGTTAAGCACCAGCTTTTAAATAAAAAAAGAATCATCGAAATCGGTTCACCCAGATAGAAGTTATGAGGTAACGTACATAAATAAAAACATACACTCGAATTGAGTACCGTCTCCTTTTTGAATTTGGTAGAAATAGGATGGGTAACTAAAAAAAAATTTAAAATACTAGAGCTATTTTTATCGGAATATGATCGGTAAAGCGATAAATGAAAACCCATAAAATCCAATCGTAATAAATTACACGCCGGCGAAGTCGCGGGGAACAGTTAGTTGGAGATATATTCATGGCTCAAACGGCTAAAGCTATGTTTTAGAGCGACGGTCGAGTGAGGTTCCATACATCAAAGTTTTCGAGCTAAAACGATTATTGCTCCAAAGCGGTAGGAGCCATTGACAACTGTTCACTTTTGTCCTTAGTACTACAGCAAATAAAGATTTTCGCCCTACGCACTTGATAGGTCTTAACTCTCGGTTAAAAACGGAGTAGTATCTTATTTTGCGCACCCTCACAAGCTGTTTATTGTAAGACAGATAACCGTAAAGTTAATTCAAAGTAAGTAACGGTTTTAAATTCTAATAATCAAGACGTTTACTTTGCGAGCAAACAGTTACAATCTTGCTGAATGACTTTGTACACTTCTGCAAAAGTGCATTAAGTAATTTTTCTTATAACACTGATGTGACAAACAAACTCTGATAGTTCACGGTATGAGGACTAAGATGGAATATCTTTCAGTGAATAATCATGATGACTATAACCTTCATATTGGAACACAACAGTATTATTTTGTAGAATATGGCTGATAAACGAGCACACAGTCAACCTGGTAAGTGGATGCAGTGGCCCATAGACATCTACATTTATCTTCAATTAATAATCAAAATGCAGATGCGTTATGATCCTTGAGGGCTAAGATGGAATGCCTCGTTTCTAGTTAAAAGGGACTACGGTTCTCTACACGAAACACAGCAGCAATAAGTTGCTATTTTACGCTGGTATTTTATGAGAGCGTGGTCCTATCCCGGTCGAGCCGACCCATTCGTACTACAACCATAATATAGCTGCAACGTGGCTCTAGCACGTATACACTATATATATATATACTGTCTGTAGTCTGTATATATATATATATATATATATATATATATATATATATATATATATATATATACACAGACTATATACAGTGCAAGTACTGTTATTTGGCGGTAGAAATAAATAAGAGAGTGGCACCTTCAGAGATGGATTCCAAAGCAAAATACCGTCTGGAAGGCAGTAGTCCTATCACCTAGTAACGCAAAAAGGCAAAGCACAAAGCTTGGTCGATTATAAAGTTGTCGGCCTTGATAACTGAAAGTCTGAGGGATTGCTTAATTTTTAGCGATTTTTTTTAATTAGAACAATCATATATATACGCTACAATACATGCGCTGTAATGATACGTGAGAATAGGTCATAATTTAAAAAAAAATATTTTATTTTATCCTGGTAATCCTGATCAGGATACTAGGATAAAGTATTTAAACTGTTGTATTGCCATGGGTCCTTGATACGAGTGCAAATTTTCAAGTAAATCGGCTTTCTACAAGTTGGTGAAAATTACATTAAAAGGTTCCGTTACATAGGTAGTTAGATACACGCGAAACTAATAAAAGCATGTTATAAATAAGAAAAGTTAGCCCGTAGACATAGTGAATCGAAGAATAAAGGCCCCGACTTCGGAAGCTATTACGTGGACATTATTTTTTATTTTTAGATTTTGAAATCGGTACTCACTATTGTTTTAAGTTTATTATTCCCCTTATTGAAGGTAATAATATATAATACAAGTTTAAGCTAACAACTACAATGTTGCCTAATAGTTATATTAAAAACTTAACACCCTTAAGGACGATTTGTATTTAATTTAAATTGTATCTTATTTAATAAAAAAAGAATCATTAAAATTGGCACATTAATAAGAAGTTATGCCAAAACATACATTAAAAAATATACAGACGAATTGTAAAACTCCCGCGTTTTTTAAATTGGTCAAAATGAAGAAAAGTAGGCCACTATTTGAAATACCAAGGCTTTTTCTACAAGAACTAAGGTAAAAGTAACAACCTCAGTCAGCAAGTGACACGTAGACTTGTATTTATAATTGCAGGCGTCGCTGCGTCGAGAGTGTAACGAGGCGCCGCCATTAGCTTCCATTGTGCAATGGCGCCCAACGTGGGGCTCAACGACTTTACTTTCGAACGCTACTCGATTGCAGCTTTTAGGAATTACGATGTATTATGATTCCCTTTCACATAAGTGCTCTTTGTAGTGGATTTAAATAACTTTTATATGTAATAAGTTATGTATTATGTAAAACTTTTATATCTTGGTTAGGGTTACCAGATGGAAAATTGGAAAGTCCTGACAAATAACCTGATTTCCATGAAAAAATCCTGACATTATGTTGCAAAAATAATTAAACAGCATGTAAAAAAAAAACTAATTGATTATTGGTTTTGTGCACTCTCAATTCAGGTCGCAGATTCCACCCGTCCCACGCAAAAACCTATGAAATACATTCATTTAAAAATCGAAAAAAGCCTGACATTTTTAAAATCCGCCCGCAATTCTGTCTAGAGTACAAAAATCCTGCCATCCTGGTATCTTTAACCTAGATCGATGTTCTGATAATCGTTTCGACAATTTCCTGAATCCATTAAATAATCGCCATCGTGTTGCCTGAAAACTTTTTTTTTATAAATAGTACTAATAATGCTTTTAACATTATTAATACACCTAATGACCACTCAAAGCAAGCTAAAATTGCTTGTATTGGGATGGTTCACCACGTAGTCCGAATAACGGATCGAATACATGAATTTTGGAGTTTACAGTCCGCGCATATCCATTAGGCTACTATCGCTTCTATTTTATAAGAAGTCAAAGAAGAGAAGCAGATTCAAGATACCTTATTGTAAAAAGTTCTTAGACATTTTAATATCAAGAAGAGAAGAGAA